GCTGCTGATGAGTCCGGTCCAGAGTTTCTGCTTGTCTTGAGTCACGCACTGCCAATATTACACACTTCAGGAAGGCCGTGTTGCCGATAGCGTTGTGCAACAAACGCTTTTGTATTATTTGTTTTACGTGGAGAGGGGAGAAGGTGACATCGCTGCCTCTACGATTAGGTGTTTTACCCTTTCTGGCAATAAAACAGGAGTTGTGTTAAGATGTCCAAACACCAAATAGAAACATATTGCAAGGGATCAAGTCTGCATTAACCACACACAGTACTTGTGGTGAACATGCAAATAAACATGGTCTGATAATAATGTTAAGTGCATTGTCATTGAAACTGATTGAGCTTACACCAGAGACAGCCTTCTTCATGGCTTTGCTGTTCTCTAGAAAAGAGAACAGCGCCAAAAGACGAACAGTACAAAGACAATACAAGTCTCAAAGCATGTATAGCTCGCGTTGAGCAGCCATATCTACGGGATCTTTTTGCAGTATCAAAATAAAAATAGCTTTTACACTTTCTGGAAATAAAACAGGGGGTGTTAAGATATTCGAACACCAAATAGCTACTTTTTTGCAAGGAACCGAGTCTGCATTGACCCACACGTATTTGTGGTACGCACTTCTTTTTGTTTGTTATCTTCTCTCCAACGCAGCTTAAAGTTTATTTCTTACGATAATATGGGGCACCTCAGTGGCGAGATGTCAACAACCTCGACTGTTACACAGAATCCATACTAAATTTTGATTTAAAGCTTTCGTGACTGCAGGGATTCATATTCTTGCTTCTTTCGGTAAAGTCACGTAGAAGGGATACAATAAAATAATAAAAATATAAAGCAATAAAATTCTCACGACGTTTCGACTGCAACACAAGCCATCATCAGGTGTGAAAAGCACAGCAAGAAATTTCGAAAAAAGTGGGTTTTTTTACGTTAGCACCACGGAGAGCGATTTGGCAGTTATTCAAATGGGTGCGGAAAAGAGGAGGCGGGAGACGAAAATAATGGATGCTGTCTGAAAGCCACCATAAGCGTGAACAATCAATTAAGACCCGAAATGGTTTATCAAATCCTTCCAATGATTGCTAAGCCAGAATCCATCTTCTCGGTTGAAATTGTCTCTGTATTTGTATATGTGGATAATCTCATGAACGAATCTCTCATGATAGCCAGATAGCTTGCAGAGAACCTCTGTCTTGGAGAAGTCAATATCATGTTAGCCTACTGAATTATAACAGTGATCTGCCACGGCCGAGGTGTTGGTCCTACCGTGTTTTAGGTCTGCTTTGTGTTCACAGATGCGGTCCGAGACATGTCGTTTGGTTTCTCCAATGTAACTACTACCACAGAGGCAACTTAGTTTGTAGACACCAGGGTACTGTATGTCCGGAATCACATCTTTTACAGACGGAACCAGATCACGGATTTTATGTAATGTGTTGAATCAGACCTGGATCTTGTGTTTATTCAAGATTTTGGAGATATTTTTTGTGATCCCCGCAATGTCAGGTAAAATGATGGTTTTGAATGGCTCCTCAAGAGGGTCCTTTTTCATGGTTGGAGTGATAGCTTTGCGGATTGTGTAATCGGAGTAACCATTAGCCTTAAGAGCTTGGTGTACATGCTTGAGTTCACTGGCTATGTGTTCCTGGTCGGATTTGCATTGGGCTCTATGGTGCAGAGTCTTGATGAGGGGATTCTTCTGGGATGGATGGTGGTGGGAATTCGGTTTCAGGTAAGCATCCGTATGTGTAGCTTTCCTGTAGACAGAGTGGCTCATTGAACCATCAGGTCTCTTTTCTATTAGGACATCCAAAAAAGGTAGCTTGCCATCTTTTTCGACTTCCATGGTAAATCTGATGGCTGGGTGTATGGAATTGATGTGGTCGAGGAATTGGTCTAGAGCAGGCTGGCCATGTGGCCAGATGACAAAAGTGGCATCCTCGTACCTCTTCCATAAGGTTGGGCGCAGAGTGGCAGTCTGGATGGCGTCAGTCTCAAATTTCTCCATGAAAATGTTGGCTACAACCAGAGATAGGGGGGAGCCCATTGGGGTACCCTCAGTTTGTTTGTAGAAAGTTCCATTCCAAGTGAAATATGCATTGGTTAAGCAGTGTCTCACCAAGGGGGGGGGGGGGGGGTACCTCAGTGTTTAGTCCTTGATGAACCAAGTCTTCAATTATTGCGATGGTGTCACATACAGGAACTTTGGTGAATAAGGAAACTACATCAAAACTGACAAGGAGGTCGTCTGGGGACAGGAAAATACCCGTGATTGTCGATACCAGGTGAGTAGAATTTTGTACCGCAGAGGTGTTTTTTTCAGTGAAAGGCCGCAGGATTTCAGACAGAAAACGAGCCAGTTTTTAGGTGGGGGGGTTGATAGTAGAGATTATGTGACGAAGGGTAAGCTGTATAATCGAAAAAGATGGCAAGCTACCTTTTTTGGATGTCCTAATAAAAAGAAGTCCTGATGGTTCAATGAGCCACTCTGTCTACAGGAAAGCTCCCCATACGGATTCTTACCTGAAACCGCATTCCCACCACCATCCATCCCAGAAGAATTCCCTCATCAAGACTCTGCACCATAAAGCCCAATGCATATCCGACCAGGAACACATAGCCAGTGAACTCAAGCACGTACACCAAGCTCTTAAGGCTAATGGTTACTCCGACTACACAATCCGCAAAGCTATCACTCCAACCATGAAGAAGGACCCTCTTGAGGAGCCATTCAAAGCCATCACTTTACCCTACATTGCGGGGATCACAAAAAAAGATCTCCAAAATCTTGAATAAACACAAGATCCAGGTCCGATTCAACACATTACATAAAATCCGTGATCTAGTTCCGTCTGTAAAATATGTGATTCCGGACATACAGTACCCTGGCGTCTACAAACTAAGTTGCCTCTGTGGTAGTAGTTACATTGGAGAAACCAAACGACATGTCTCGGACCGCATCCGTGAACACAAAGCAGACCTAAAACACGGTAGGACCAACACCTCGGCCGTGGCAGATCACTGTTATAATTCAGTAGGCTCACATGACATTGACTTCTCCAAGACAGAGGTTCTCTGCAAGCCATCTGGTTATCATGAGAGATTCGTTCATGAGGCTATCCACATATACAAACACAGAGAAAATTTCAACCGAGAATATGGATTCTGGCTTTGCAATCATTGGAAGGATTTGATAAACCATTTTGGGTCTTAATTGGTTGTTCACGCTTACGGTGGCTTTCAGACCGCATCCATTATTTTCGTCTCCCCCCTCCTCTTTTCCGAACATAGATGGACTCGTCCATCTGAATAACTGCCAAATCGCTCTCCGTGGTGCTAACGTAAAAAAAAAACCGCCACTTTTCAAAATGTTTTTATTGCTGTCGTTTTCACACCTGATGATGATTGCTTGTGTTGCAGTCGAAACGTCGTGAGAATTTTATTGTTTTATATTTTTATTATTTGATTGTTTCCCTTCTACGTGACTTTACCGAAAGAACCGAGAATAAGAATCCATTCTCTTCGGTTCTTTCGGTAAAGTCACTAAGGTATAAAATAAAATAAATTAAATCACGACGTTTCGGGCGCAATACACGCATCCGTCATCACGTGGGACAATCACAGCAAGAAACAATTACGTGACTTTACCGAAAGAACCAGAGAGCATGGATCCCTGCAGTCACGAAAGCTTCACATCTAGATTGTTATACAGGAGTTCATGGATTCGAGCCTGACGCCTGCTGTATATTTGGAATTTGCATGTCTCTCTCCCCGTGGTCGCGTTGATTTTTCTCCGGCTCCTCCGGTGTTTTTTCCCTCCACATTTATAATCAACCTCACGCGTTTCGAGTATTTGATGATATCAGCCACTTTGTTGGGCTATCATTTACGATTGCCAGGTCGCTTCTGAAAAAGATCTACAAAGCAGCAGCTCAGTAATGACCTTACCTGGTTAAAAAAAAACTGGAGAAGTAGATTTACAACAGCCATTTAAGACTGAGAGAGAATATTTTTTTCCACAGCTGTCGCCTGATGATGCTGGTTGTTGTAATTACCAGTGAAACGTCACAGTTCTCCAATTGTACATGTTGCAGTGGGTTTACTCTCCAACACACAACCGGGTAGTGCTGTGGGTCCCTGTGTGCGTCTATGGGCGTCTGTGTGAGTCTATGGGGCTATGTGTGAGTCTATGGGTATCTGTGTGAGTCTATGGGTCTCTGTGTGAGTCTATGAGTCTCTGTGTGAGTATATGGGTCTCCGTGTGAGTCTATGGGTCTCTGCGTGAGTCTATGGGTCTCTGTGTGAGTCTATGGGTCTCTGTGTGAATCTATGCGTCTCTGTGTGAGTTTATGGGTCCCTGTGTGAGTCTATGGTCTTCTGTGTGAGTCTATGGATCTCTGTGTGAATCTATGGGTCTCTGTGTGAGTATATAGGTTTCTGTGTGAGTATAGGTGTCTTTGTGTGAGGCTATGGGTCTCTGTGTCAGTCCATGGGTCTCTTTGTGAGTCTATGGGTCTCTGTGTGAGTCTATGGGTCTCTGTGTGAGTATAGGGGTCTCTGTGTGAGTCTATGGATCACTGTGTCAGTCTATGGGTCTCTGTGTCAGTCTATGGGTCTCTGTGTGAGTCTATGGGACTCTGTGTGAGTCTATGGGACTCTGTGTGAGTCTATGCGTCTCTGTGTCAGTCTATGGGTCTCTGTGTGAGTCTACGTATGTACGTATATTGAACTTCTTTCGCACTGTACGTAGCCAACCGTGCTAATCGGAGGTGCGGACGGAAGGACAACAGATAGATGACGACGATGGCGACGATGCAAGCATCACCCCCGCAGCGTAACCGCCAAACTGCCCCCAACACTTCTCGCTGTGTAACTCCTCGTAACGCGCTCCTTCTCTCGTTTACCCCACCCCGCCCCGTGTACACCTTCGTTCTGCCGCAGATCATCATCAGCAGCAGCATTACCACCGTCGTCGACGTTCTGCGTGTGCGTATGCCATGGCCAGCGCTGTGGGGCCATCGGCGAACGGCTCTCAGTCCCTGAGGAACGAGACCCAGCACGCGGAAGGGCCTCCCTCGCCCTTCTGGAACGGCGGTCGCTTCGTGCTCTACGCCATCCTCACCCTGACCTGGGTGCCGACCTTCGCGCTCTCCGTCCTCATGGCGTGCCTCCTCGTTCGTGTCAGGGCGTACGGCGAGAGCGCCAAGTACATACTCTTCGCGAACCTCACGGCGTGCGACTCCACGTACATGCTGTTGTCGGGCGCCCTCACCGTGCTCCGGTCGGAGCTGGTGTGGGTGTCGCGCGTGCTCTGCGCCCTGCAGGTCAACCTCAGCATGACGCTGCACGTGAACAGCGTGCTCAGCGTTGCAGCGATGGCCGTGGAGCGGTACGTGGCCATCTGCCACCCGCTCAGGTACCACCAGCTGTCGCACCGGCGCTCTGGCCTGCAGGTACGCAAATTGTCAAACTGTTGTTTTAAATCTGCCCCCTTCAGACCGCCGCAGTGATATTCACGCTCACAAAGATAAACGTAGACAATTGAGTGTAGGAGTGGGTGGGTGGGTGAGTGGGCGAATCGGTGTGTGGGTGGGTGAGTGGGTGGGTGAGTGAGCGAATCGGTGTGTGGGTGGATGAGTGAGTGGGTGAGTGAAATGGGTGAGTGAGTGAGTAGTTGAGTAGGTGGGTGGGTGAGTAATTGGGTGGGAGATTGAGTGAGTGGTTTGTTGAGTAGTTTGGTGAGTGTGTGGGTGAGAGAGTGGGTGAGTGAGTGGGTGAGAGAGTGGGTGAGTGGGTGGGTGAGAGAGTCGGTTAGTGGGTTAGTGGCCATCTGCCACCCGCTCAGGTACCACCAGCTGTTGCACCGGCGCTCGGGCATGCAGGTGCGTGAGTCAACTGTAAATGTGTTGTTTAAAATCTGCCCACTCAGAGCCACGCCGTGACATTCATACTCACAAAGATAAACGTATACAATTGTATGCTACACCGAGTGGGTGGGTGGGTGAGTGAGTCAGTGAGTGAGTGGGTGGGTGAGTGAGCGAGTCCGTGTGGTGGTGGGTGAGTGTGGTGAGTGTGGTGGGTAAGTGAGGTGGGTGGACATCTGCCACCCACTGAGGTACACCAGATGTCGCACCGGCAGCTCAGCCTATCTGGCACAACTCTGACACACACAACGCCATCATCACATTCATCGTCACAGAGATAAAACATAGACAATTCTACACTACAGTGAGTGGGTGGATGAGTGGGTGAGTCGGTGGGTGGATGAGTCGGTGGGTGGGTGAATAAGTGGGTTAGTGAGTGGGTGGGTTAGTGAGTGGGTGGCTAAGTGGGTGGGTAAGTGGGTGCGTGAGTGAGGGAGTTGGTGAGTGAGTGGATGAATAATTGGGCGGGTGAGTGAGTGAAGTCAATATTTGTTTTGCTTACATACTTGGTGCCTTTCTGACGCAAATCTGGCACTCAAAGCGCCATGATCACATTGATGCTCAACATAAAATAAAACATTCAAAGCAATGATAATATATATTACATTAATCTACAGTTGTTTAAAATATAAACAAATACAAGCATGTTGTGGTAGCGAGTTGATTATTGTGTTGGTAGTTATGTAGAAGCACAAACAATAACAACACAACACACATTAGGTGACGTTTACGATGTATGGCCCCTTTTTAACGTGTTATGAAGAGGGCCTATCGCCTAAAATGTCGCCCGTTATTTTTTTCCTTTCAAGGCCACACGTACAGTGTTGTCATTGGCCAATTTGTTCAGATTGTTTTTTTTTTTTGCCGCATTGTTTGTATGTACCGTATGTTGAACTTCTTTCGCATCGTATGTATAAAATCGTGCTAATCAGATGTGCGGAAGATGGCAAACAAACTAAGCGCAAAAAAATGAGTTCTAAACAAATTAGTTTTCAATCTAAAATCATGCCAATCTATGGGTCTCTATGTAATGAGTCTATGGCTCTCTGTGTGGTGAGACTTTGAGTCTATGTGCGGTGAGTCTATGGGTCTCTGTGGTAGCAAGATGTTAACTGCCTCGCCTGGTATACAGGAGGTCGTGGGTTCGATCCCGACCCTGACGCCTGCTGCTGTATATTTGGAGTCTTCGCGTTCTCCCCATGGTCGAGTGGATTTTTTTCTCCCGGTCTTTCGATTTTCCCTCGACATTTATAATCAACATCACGCTTTTAGATTGTGAGGCTACTGTAATAGTCCACGTGATAAGGCACTTCATTGGACTATCACTTGTGGCCAGGTCGCTTTACGAGAAAGAGCTATTTACCTCAGTGCGTCTTACCTGGTAAAATTAAAAATATAGTGTAGTCATGAAAACGTTAAACTTATTTCGCACCGTACGTAGCCAACCGTGATAATTGGAGGTACAGGGGAAGGACAACACACAACACTAAATAAATTACTTTTCAACATAAAATCTATTCCAGTCTATGGGTCTCTACAGTATGTCTGTGGGTCTCTTTGTGATGAGTCTGTGGGTCGCTGTGTGGTAAGTCTATGGGTCTCTATGTCTGTGGGTCTCTGTGTGGTGAGTATGTGGTTCTCAGTGTGATAAGTCTGTGGGTCTCTATGTGGTGAGTCTGTGGGTCGCTGTGTGGTAAGTCTATGGGTCTCTATGTCTGTGGGTCTCTGTGTGGTGAGTCTGTGGGTCTCTATGTGGTGAGTCTGTGGGTCTCTGTGTGGTGAGTCTGTGGGTCTCTATGTGGTGAGTCTGTGGTTCTCAGTGTGGTAAGTCTATGGGTCTCTATGTCTGTGGGTCTCTGTGTGGTGAGTCTGTGGTTCTCAGTGTGATGAGTCTGGGGTCTCTATGTGGTGAGTCTGTGGTTCTCAGTGTGATGAGTCTGTGGGTCTCTATGTGGTGAGTCTGTGGGTCTCTGTGTGGTGAGTCTGTGGGTCTCTATGTGGTGAGTCTGTGGTTCTCAGTGTGGTAAGTCTATGGGTCTCTATGTCTGTGGGTCTCTGTGTGGTGAGTCTGTGGTTCTCAGTGTGATGAGTCTGTGGGTCTCTATGTGATGAGTCTGTGGGTCTCTATGTATGTACTTTGAACGTATTTCGCACCATACGTGGCCAACGGTTATGGAAACAGTGACGCCCCAGGGGTACGTGAGGTGATTTATAAATGTGTGAAATTGCATCATAACGTGAGAGTCATTGGTGAATAATCATGTCTATGCATCTGCCAATAAAAAATATTACTTTTAAATTGAAATCCATATGGCGACCTGAAACAATATTAACGACCTTTGGGGCCGTCCATAAATGACGTCACGCACCGGGGGGGGGGGGGGTCAGACATTTGTGAAGATGTGTGACAGGAGGGGGGGGTTTGAGAAATGTGACGTCACATCAAAATGCGCAACTTTAAATAACTAGACTTTTTTTTATAAAAATGTTCTCCTACAACATCAGAGTGCAGCGGCACATTAAATACGCATAAAAATGACAATAGTTTAAAGCGATTTTAAGCATGTTTTATTTGTGGGGGGGGGGGGGGGGCAGAGCTTTGTGACGTCATATTTGAGGGGGGGTCTTACTTTTTGTGACACTGTGTGATGATGGGGGGGGTCAAAATTCGTAAAAAATCGCGTGACGTCATTTATGGACGGCCCCTTTCTAAACTCATTGATCGTGAAACAATGCGTGTTTCCAAGAGGTGACCACAAACACATTACATTCGCGTGCAAAGTGTGCATTGAATATTTTTTTTGCTTGCAGTTATTAGCTAGTTAGGATATGCCTAACAAAGTTGACGATTGGTTAAAATAGTGACGTTCATTGTTCAAACATTTATTTTTAAGAATGATGTTGGGTCAGGCCACGGCGGTTACTTGGTTGAAACAAAATTCAATAAGGGGTGGTACAGTCGTAGCCAAACAATCATGTCTACATTAACCGCAATACTTGTGGTCAGAATGCAAACAAAAAAACATACTCTGATAATACATGCATTGTCTTTGAAACTGATTGGTCCACACCAGAGACAGCTTTCTTTTGAGCCTAGTCTCAAAACGGTGTTAGGCCAGAGGACGCCAAAAGGCGTGGACATGATTCCTTGTAAAAGATTTCAGTTTGGTGTTTTAACATCTTAACACCTATTTGTTGCCAGAAAAAAAGGGGAAACCCTATTCTCAGATCAGCGTTTATTAACGCCTGATAATGCTGGGTTTAGCCTATAGGAAAATGTCCCAGAAAAAATACATATCAGAATTTAGCTTTGTGTTTCAACATTCTAATTTGTGTTACAAAACATGAAATCGATCGGTATAATATGCCACGTGACGTGATTCGATGGCCTCTGTCAGGTGGTGCAGGGTTACTGTTAAATTTTGCATTATACCTGCACGATGATCTAACTCAAAAACATCTCATGATGAATCAGATGGCATTATGTAATTAACTGTTGTATGTTCTCTTATCCACATTTGACTTGTATTGTTGTTGGTATTTTTGCAGGCAGTCGCCTGCATCTGGCTGCTGTCATTGTTGGCTCCGACCCTGCGCCTTGGCCTTTACTTCGCGAGCGGGCCGCCCTTCTTGACGGGCAGCGAACCGGTCTGCGAAATCAACACGTTCGACGCCCAATTGCCCTACGGGGAGGCGACCATCATCATTCGCAACGTGTTTCTGTACACTTTCTTCGTCCTGTGCACGTTGGGCGTGCTGATTTCCTACATCCTGACGGCTCGCGCCGCTAAAAGGGCGTCAGAGAGACGGAGCAGTTTCTCAAAGGCTCTGAAGACCATCGTGCTGCACGGAATTCAGCTATGCCTGTGCCTCCTGCCCGCTGCTTTGCCCATGGCCCACAACATTGTGGGCCTCTTAAACCTGAGCCCCCTCGGCTTGTATGGAGTTCGCGTCACGATATACTTTGTGCTGCACGTGGTCCCGCGCTTCATGAGTCCCTTTCTCTATGGCGTCAGGGACGAGGAGATCGTGAAGGACCTGCGGAGGCTCCTCTGCTGCGTCCGTTCGAAGCGAGTGAATCCTTAAGTGGAGCCACCACGGATCTCCCGTGTGGGCAACTGAATGAACAAATTACTTAAGTTAAACTATTTTTATTTCACCAGATAAGGCCCACTGAGCTGTATAGCTTTTTTTGCAGAAGCGACCTAGCCATCACAAATGATAGCTCAACAAAGTGGCTTATTGTCACGTGGAAATTTATCGCAGCCAAATTCCCGAAACGCATGATGTTGTTTCTAAATGGAGAGGAAAATACCGGAAAAAACCCGGAGAAAAATCCACACGACCACGGGGAGAACGTGCAAACTTCAATTATACCGCAGGCGTCGGGGTCGGGGTCGGGATCGTACTCATGGCACCCTGTAAGCCAGGCGAGGTAGTTAACATCTCGCCACCGTTTCGCCCCAAAATACATTCAAACTTTCAAACTAGTGGTTAGGCCAACTCCGAGGTCTCAGATACACTACAATAATATTGTTTATTACGAGAAAACAAATCGATTTTAATTCGAAATGGTTACGAATTTTTTTTGTTCGAACGTTGCCATGTAAAAACTAAAAAAGAAAATCACCCTCCATCACTTCCGCTTTCGTAAAAAGTGACGCAAACAAATGTAGCCATTTTCAAGGAACCGTCTCGACGTAAATTCTTCAGACACCGAGCATGTCCGAGAAAGAGCTGCCGCTGACGCACGCTGCTATTGCGTGATACACCAATGTGATCGGCGGTACATGCGCACCACCTTTGCAAATCGTCTCTGCTGGATGAAGGCCTCCATCACTCTGCTGCAGGGGTCCGCAGAACCTGCCATTGCGGTGCCAATGGCAGTTCTTTAAGGACTGCAGTGCGGCTCTTGGAATTAGAAAAAAAACGGCTTTTGTTATGTTTGTTGCTGTTCCCTGACCATGGAAGTCCAATTCACCATGGAAGTCCAGTTCATCAAGGCAGTTTAGTTTACCATGGTAGTCCAGTTCACCATGGTAGTCCAGTTCACCATGGGAGTCCAATTCACCATGGTAGTCGAATTGGCCATAGAAGTTCAGTTCACCATGGAAGTCCAGTTCACCATGGAAGTCTAATGGCCATGGTAGTCCAGTTCACCATGGTAGTCCAGTTGGCCATGGTAGTGCAGTTCACCAGGGTAGTCCAATTCGCTATGGTAGTCCAGTTGGCCATGGTAGTCCAGTTCATCATGCTAGTTCAGTTCGCCATGGAAGTCCAGTTCACCATGGAAGTCTAGTTTACCATGAACGTCCAGTTCACCATGGTAGTCCAGTTCACCATGGGAATCCAATTCACCATGGTAGTCGAATTGGCCATAGAAGTTCAGTTCACCATGGAAGTCCAGTTCACCATGGAAGTCTAATGGCCATGGTAGTCCATTTCATCATGGTAGTCCAGTTGGCCATGGTAGTGCAGTTCACCAGGGTAGTCCAATTCGCTATGGTAGTCCAGTTGGCCATGGTAGTCCAGTTCACCATGCTAGTTCAGTTCGCCATGGAAGTCCAGTTCACCATGGAAGTCTAGTTTACCATGAACGTCCAGTTCACCATGGTAGTCCAGTTTACCATGGAAATCCAGTTCACCATGGAAGTCCAGTTCACCATGGTAGTCCAGTTCACCAGGGTAGTCCAATTCGCTATCGTAGTCCAGTTCACCATGGTAGTCCAGTTGACCATGGTAGTCCAGCTCACCATGCTAGTCCAGTTCGACATGGAAGTTCAGTTCACTATGTTCGTCCAGTTCACCATGGAAGTCCAGTTCACCATGGTAGTCCAGTTCACCATGCTAGTCCAGTTCGACATGGAAGTTCAGTTCACTATGTTCGTCCAGTTCACCATGGTAGTCCAGTTCACCATGGTAGTCCAGTTCACCATGGTAGTCCAGTTCACCATGCTAGACCAGTTGGCTATGGTAGTCCAGTTCACCATGGTAGTCCAGTTCACCTTGGAAGTCCGATTCACCATGGTAGTCTAATTGGCCATGGAAGTCCAGTTCACCATGGAAGTCCAGTTTAACATGGACGTCCAGTTCACCATGGTAGTCCAGTTTACCATGGAAATCCAGTTCACCATGGAAGTGCAGTTCACCATGGTAGTCTAGTTCACCATGGTAGTCCAATTCGCCATGGAAGTATGATTTACCATGGAAGTCCGGTTCACCATGGCAGTCCAGTTCACCATGGTAGTCCAGTTCACCATGGTAGTCCAATTCGCCATGGAAGTCCAGTTGGCCATGGCAGTCCAGTTCACCATGGTAGTCGAGTTGGCCATGGTAGTGCAGTTCACCAGGCTAGTCCAGTTCGCCATGGAAGTTCAGTTCACCATGTTCGTCCAGGTCACCATGGAAGTCTAGTTCACTATGGAAGTCAAGTTTACCATGGGCGTTCATTTCACCATAGTAGTCCAGTTCACATTGGAAGTCCGGTTCACCATGGCAGTCCAGTTCACCATGGTAGTCCAATTCGCCATGGAAGTCCGATTCACCATGGAAGTCCGATTCACCATGGCAGTCCAGTTCACCATGGTAGTCCAGTTGGCCATGGTAGTCCAGTTAACCATGGTAATCCAGTTGGCCATGGTAGTCCAGTTCACCATGGTAGTCCAGTTGGCCATGGTAGTCCAGTTTACCATGGTAGTCCAGTTGGCCATGGTAGTCCTGTTCACCATGCTATTCAAGTTGGCCATGGTAGTCCAGTTCACCATGGTAGTCCAGTTGGCCATGGTAGTGCAGTTCACCAGGGTAGTCCAGGTCACCATGGAAGTCTAGTTCATCATGGAAGTCAAGTTTACCATAGACGTTCAGTTCACCATAGTAGTCCAGTTCATATTGGAAGTCCGGTTCACCATGGCAGTCCAGTTCACCATGGTAGTCCAGTTCACCATGGTAGGCCAGTTGGCCATGTTAGTCCAGTTCACCATGGAAGTCCAGTTCACCATGGAAGTCCAATTTACCATGGACGTCCAGTTCACCATGGTAGTCCAGTTTACCATGGAAATCCAGTTCACCATGGTGGTCTAGTTCACCATGGTAGTCCAGTTCACCATGGTAGTCCAGTTGGCCATGGTAGTCCAGTTCACCATGGAAGTCCAGTTCACCATGGAAGTCTAGTTTACCATGGACGTCCAGTTCACCATGGTAGTCCAGTTTACCATGGAAATCCAGTTCACCATGGTAGTCTAGTTCACCATGGTAGTCCAGTTTACCATGGAAATCCAGTTCACCATGGTAGTCCAGTTCACCATGGAAGTCCAATTCACCATGGTAGTCCAATTGGCCATGGAAGTCCAGTTCACCATGGAAGTCCAGTTTACCATGGACGTCCAGTTCACCATGGTAGTCCAGTTTACCATGGAAATCCAGTTCACCATGGAAGTCCAGTTCACCATGGTAGTCTAGTTCACCATGTTAGTCCAATTCGCCATGGAAGTCCGATTTACCATGGAAGTCTGGTTCACCATGGCAGTCCAGTTCACCATGGTAGTCCAGTTCACCATGGTAGTCCAATTCGCCATGGAAGTCCAGTTGGCCATGGTAGTCCAGTTCACCATGGTAGTCCAGTTGGCCATGGTAGTCCAGTTCACCATGGTAGTCCAGTTCGCCATGGTAGTGCAGTTCACCAGGGTAGTCCAATTCGCTATGGTATTCCAGTTGGCCATGGTAGTCCAGTTCACCATGCTAGTCCAGTTCGCCATGGAAGTTCAGTTCACCATGTTCGTCCAGGTCACCATGGAAGTCTAGTTCACCATGGAAGTCAAGTTTACCATGGACGTTCAGTTCACCATAGTAGTCCAGTTCACATTGGAAATCCAGTTCACCATGGGGGTCTAGTTCATCAGCGTAGTCCAATTTCGCTATGGTAATCCAATTCACCATGGAAGTCCGGTTCACCATGGAAGTCCATTTTCCTAAATAGAAAAAAGGCTCATCTTGTTGTTATTTTGGTTGCCAATCCCCTGTTATAGACGCTCGCCTCATCAATTGAAGTTCGGTAAGCAGACAATGTCTCATCCATATATCTTTCTCTGTCCACGTGAAATAAAACAAAGTATTAGAATTATATTATGCAGTTATAGTGTCAGCATAATATAATTTTCTGACAACAGCTATGAATAGTGTTGAGTAGCCCTCAGAGTTGTGACATTGGCCTTACCATGTTTCTATTGGTGGTGATGGTCGAAGTTACGGTGGAAATAGTGGTGGTGATGGTAAAGCTGTTGTTGATTTTGATGGAGGTAGTGGTGGTGATGGTAGAGGTGGTGGTGATGCTAGAGCTGGTGGTGATGCTATAGAGGTTGGTGGTGGTGATGCTCGAGGTGGTGGTGATGTTAGAAGTGGTGGTGTTGTAGACCGTGGTGTATCACACAAATCGGCAGTTGACGTGAGCGCATAATATGATTCTCACCAAGCTTGCGAACACTTTGAATGCAACACCCTCCTCGACAACGCTCTTATCCACAATGCTGCACGCCCTTATCCACGATGCAATGCGGCTGCCTTGACAAATAACAACGTTTACACAGCGATGCATTGCGGTATACCCACATTACTCTACTTTGCAGTGCACCCTTTTACAGAATACAATGTCCCTGCTCCACGTAAGATGACACCAGCTTTATAATACTAGAATTTCGGGGTCCGTGGCCACCTTATTCTAGCTCCTGCAGAGTGCTCCTTGACGTTCCGTGCCTCACCCGTGGCCCCCACTGATGTCCTCGTCTCCCCCCCCCCCCCAAATGTGTGCAGATACTACTGATTCTATTGTATGTAGGGTGTGTAGGCATATATAAAGTCAGTAGAGAGTAGATACTACTGACTATAGTGTACGTTGGGTGTGTAGGCATATATGCCTACAAAATTATATTCTTTTTTGGGGGGGGGGGGGGGTCGACAATTTTTAGAAACCTGTTGGATCAACTTTTTGCACCCACATCTGGGGGTGGTGCGGGGGTCCACATTCTTTAACTTTTTGATTCAGGCCTGCTGAAAGGCTCTCATCATTTAGTTGACAGACAAACCGACACACG